TTTTCTTATAATTATTTACCCTTTTGATGGAGGCTTATTTGGTCAAAAATCATAATACTTTTCTTTCCATCAATAGTACATTTATTCCAATTTAACTCCTCTCTCCAAATCTGGTTTTAATGTTGCCTTCTATAGATTCTTCTGTGGTGCCGCTCTCTGTCTTTGGCAGTATTAGCTTTTCCAGCTGTGCTCACCAAATATTTTCCCTAAAAACAAATAAAAATGCAAATCATTTAAAAGATTTCCTTATTGGTACCATAAAGTTTCCTTCAGAGTACTGAAAATAATTTTTTTTTTATTTTTTATTTTTGGGAAAATTAAGGACTTAGCCCATTCTATTGAAGCAAAAATTTAAAAGATACAATAGATGCAGCAAGAAAGAACAACAGGTGAGGTTGTCATTGTTCCAGAATAAGCCTGTTCAAAACTGTTGCTAGAAGTTAGCAGGTTCATTAAGATGATGAAGATATTTTATAAAAAAAAAAGTTCTCAACGGCTCTTTTATTGTGTTTTTTCGATATTTTTTCAATTTAAATCCTAATAATGACAACTTTCTTATATAACAATAACAACCGCCCTTTATCCCACTATGTGGGAATGGCTACATGATTTTTTTTTTTTTCGTTGTCTTATTAAGAGTCAAATTTTCATTGAAATCTGATAAGAAATGATCATTTCTAATGCTTTCTAGCCAAGTATTTTTAAGTCTATCTGTACCTTCTTAATATTAGCCATATCTGATATATATACTCTTCTGATCGAGTCATCCAAGGTTTCTCTCTCTAATCTTATCTGTAATTGAAGCTTCTCTAACCTTTTCATTTTATCTGTGACAAAGAAATCAATCATAAAAAAGAGTGGGAGTCACAATGACCTTTCTACGAAGGTTGATTACCATCCAAAGTCTGCATAAGACTTCTCATCTTAAGGCTTTAGCTCCACAACTGAACATTTATTTGTCGCCAAGAGAGTCTTTTTTGGTGAATTCAGTTACTGGGTCTAAGTTCAACTATTCCAATATATGATTTTAAGAGAAAACAGCCACTAATATTTATCTGACAGAAAGGTGGGAAATTGAATTCTTATACTCAAAGATTTGATTTGATGGAGCTAGACTGGATCACTAGATGTCGAAGCTTAGTTGAAGGCAGTCAAGTCAGATTGATAGCTTCCAATCCCAAACAGATGACAAGTCACATTGGTGGTGCCCAGGCCATTCCCAATCAGATGATAAGATTGTCTAATTTATGATTTAAATTTACTTTTTGATACTAAAAAAGAGCTATTCCCTCTATCCAGATTTCTTTTGTCAATTCTTAGGACAAATTGCATCAGCTAATTGAGAAATTATTCTGTGCGGAGTCCGGACAGGAAGAACCGTTCGGATATGTGAGTGTACACATAATGTGTATCAAATTAGTATACATACTATTTGTACACAATGTGTATACTCACAGTCCGGACGGTTTTTCTCGTCCGGACTCTGCACAGAATAATTTCTCTGACAAATTAGGCTCATTTCGAACTGGGAAGGAAGGCTAATAGGCCTCGGGAAAACTTTTCAGGTCTAGGTGGGTGGTCAGAAATGTAATTCAATTGTTTGCTATCTTTCAAGAATTCTTCATTTTAAGAAGGCATGAAATTAAGCTGAAACTGACTTCTCATCTTTTCCAACCTTTTGCAGCATAAAAGTTAGCATGCTTCAGAAATTGTTAAACAGAACTACTTCAGCTATGTAATGTTTATTTACCTCATCTGTGTAGACTTTTCCATTAGCGGCCTCAAAGTTGCATCTGTCTTAAGTGAGAATAACTCAATCTCCAGATACACACAAATTTAAATACCAATTTCATGAATGTCATTTATGTCCTATGATGACAGCCAAATTTGCTGACATCTAACTATCATGCTATCTAATGGCAAAACTGAATGAGTAGAGAAAGAAATATTACAATCATTGACGATTCTTTTTAAAAAAATCAAGACAACACTAAGGTTTTGTTTGGGACGATTTTCTTACTTCTTCTTAAAGCAGATTTTTTATATAAGAATTAAAATTTTCTACTGAAATGCTGCTTAAGAAGCAGTAAGAACGCCGTACGAAACAAAGCCTAAATTAAAGTATGTTGGACTCGAAATATGACAATGTTACATGAATAACACTATTGTGTAGATAATTCAGTTAGCCTAGTTAACGGCCCTTAAGATAAAACTTCTAGCAGTGAAAGCATCTCCTTAGAAGAGAGAAAATTTATAAGAGGAATACAGCATATTAGGATTTGCTGAGCTTCAAATAGGATATTAAGATCTACATGAAAAACTGATTGAGCCCGGCTTGCAAACGAATATAATTTTAAAGCTTTAATGAAGTCAGCAATCTCTTCCCATAGCTCCCACTGCTCCAAGTCACAAAGCTTGTAGTTGAAGTTAATTTCATGATTTCGCCCCATGCAATTCCACTAATTCTGCAACTTCTACCCTTCGCTATTCCCAGTTGCATTGTGCCATCCACTGAGAGCTTTCCATTTTCAGAACATCGGATTGGCAAACGAAACATTGCATTTCCATCAATCTGCGCATCATTTTTTTTTACTCGAGCAACCTTCAGAGTATCAACCAAATATAAATTCTTCACCATGAACAAGAGTACCATTTGAGGGGATATTATCAGCAGAATTCAAGTTGGATGATTGAAGTGGAGGAATGCATCGGGCTTGATGTGCGATAGAAAAGCCCCCCTCAAATTTAAAGGAAAATTCTATATGATGGTGGCGAGACATGCAACGCTTTATGGTGCCGAATGTTGGCCATTAAAAGAGAAGCATAATACTAAGTTAAGTGTTGCAGAGAGAGGATGATTAGGTGGATGAGTGGCTTTAACCTTAGAGATAGAATACGAAATGAGCATATACGTGAAAAGGTTGGAGTAGCTCCAGTGGAAGATAAGATTAGAGAGAGTCGCCTTAGGTGGTTTGGTCTCATTAAACGGAGGCCTTCCGATGACCCGGTTAAAAAAGTTGATGTATTATATTTGACTTATGTTAAGAAAAGTAGGTAAACCTAAAAAGACTTGGTTAGAAAATATTAGAAATGATCTTTATTTATTCGATTTAATTGAGAATTTGACTTTTAACAAGAAACAATGACGAAAAAGGATTCATTTAGCCGACACCATGTAGTGGGGCAAAGGACAAAGGCTTGATTTTGTTGTTGTTGTTGTTGAACAAGAGCACCATTTGATATTATTAGTGAAAAAGATTCACTCTTTGTATTGATAAGTACCACTTAGAGTAGAAACAATCTCCAAAGAAAGAACATGAAAGAAAATCTAAGGAACACTGCTCACGTTTGACTTCATAATCCATATTACAAAAGTATATATACCCATTGTTCAATTAATAACACCCATTCCTGAAGTAATAAGACAAAGACAAAATCTTGGAAGTTATGAAAATAAATTGAAACTGTTTAGAGCTTAACTGTTGTCAATAATCATTCAACTACATTGGACGCTACTACGGCCTTCATACCCATTGTCTTGCTTGCTCCATATTAGAGTGGTGGTTTATTTGGTTTGAAGTAAAATGGATGTAACCTATTAAAAATATAGGAGTTCTGAGAATATTGATGTTTGGTTTGCAGTAAAACAAATGTAACATAAGATTTTGCTGCATTAAAAATTAATTATATTGTTCAATTTTAGTGTATTTTGAATTCATCGGATTTGGGGGATTTCTAAATGCACCGATTCATCGCCATTATCATTGTTTGCCGCCAGCAACCATTACTATCAACCGCCATCATTGCCGGCTAACACCATCCACCACCACTGACCACCACCGCCACCACCCACCAATGCCCACCACCGCCAATCACCACTCCACCTCCGACTCTGTTGCCATCAACCACCGCCCGCCACCAGCTGCCACAACCACCCTCCACTGCTAACTACCTATTGCCGTCGTTGACCACAACCAGCATTATTTTTGGAGTTTATATTGTAATCATTTAAGCAAAAGTCAAATAAAAAAATAATCACCTATATTTATTTTATATTAACCTAAATAAATCTAAAACATTTTAAATACGCTATATTTTTTTTTATATTGTACTTTTTTATGTGCATCTTTTCTTATTTTGCTATTTCTAATTTTATTCTTAAATTGTCACTTGCTCTATATTTAAGAGCAAAATTAAAAATATATGGTTCATTTAAAATGCATGTATTTAAAGCTATCATATTTATTAAAAATATGTATTTAAAACAAGTTTTAAAATATATGTATTTAAAATTTATCATAACAAATAAAAATTTATTATATTTGATTTGCATCAAATTAAATAATTTATATATTTTTAAAATACATTTATATATTTTACATTATATCTAAAATGCATGTATTTAAAGCTAATCTAAAATTCAAATTATTTGGATCAAACAACCCTTTAGGGCTCACCAACCGAAAACCTTATTTCTCATTTTAAAATATAGTAATATTCATATCAAACAGTAATTTATCTTTAACAAAATTTCATTTCTAACATCAAAAAAGAATATTATGTATATATTCTTTCTCATCTAATAGTGAGAATGGGTGAATAACGTTCTAAACAGTATTGACTTCGCATTTTTCACAACGGAGATAAAATGCAAAAGAAGAGTTTTCATTTGACATTCGGATGGACTTTGGCCAAAGTTGACGAATTAAGTTTGATCAGAAATTTAGGCTTCTTTTAGGATAACTTTTTAGAGATTTTTTAAAATAATTTTTTAGTACAAAAATTAAGGGCTTCTTAAAATTTTTGTATAAAAAATCGTTTTAAAAATCATTAAGAAAGCAGATTTATCTCATTTGAGATGATTTTTTTATTGTTTTTAAAAATAAATATTAGTACAAAAATTAAAAAAATTTAATTAAAAATCTACTTTAAAAATATGATAAAAAGGTATAATCAATTACTCTCGAACCACCGAAGTTCATTTAAAATGCGCGGGAAGGGGATGACAGTTCGGTCATTTGTTATACCCTCCTTGCTTTCTCTTTCTGAATTCGGCCGCCATTATATCCATTCCCTCCATGCTCGCAGGATTAGGGTTCCGGCGAATCCTGCACTCCAAAATTAGTCCGTTCGTCTTCTTCCAAATCGCTCGTTCGGTCTCAGGAAATCGCGCATCCAAACCTTCACCTGACATCGAATCCCTTGTCCTCCGCCAGTACCGCGATGGTAAATTCCGTGACCTCTTCCGCGCCGCAATCTCGGAGCCCTCCTTTCTCCTTTCCGCTTGCCAGAACCTCTGTCTTGAAGAAATCCCCCCTTCTGCTGACTCCATCAACCGCTTTATCTCCATCGAAGATATCGCTTTCGATCTTCGCGAGGGCCGATTGGACGTCGAGTCCTTGTGCGTCAAACTCCTTCCCTCTCGGAAGAAGGGGACGCATCTGGTCCTCCCCAATCTTAAGCTCAAAGTCGTAATAGAGGCTGTGCGCATGGCCCTAGAAATCATTTATGAGAAGCGCTTCGCCACCTTCGCTTATGGCGGCCGAGTGGGGAAGGGACGTCACACCGCCGTACGCTACCTGAAAGCCGCTGTCGAAAATCCGAACTGGTGGTTCCGAGTGCCCTTCAGGAGACAGGCCTTGGATCTCTGCCGATTGAAGGCCGCTTTGGCCGAGAAGATCGAGGATGACGCATTGATTGGCTTCATCGAGCGGCTGTTCACATCAGAGGCAGTTGTTATCGAGCTTGGAGGACTTGATTTGGGCCGAGGTTTTCCTCAAGAGAGCAGTTTGAACTCAATTCTGGTAAACATTTACTTTGATGGTCTGGATCAAGAGATCCAGGAGATTCGGGCTCAAATACATCGCGGTAATCCGAAATTAAGGAACCTCGAGAAGGCGGAGAACTCCCTGGTTTTTCATAAACCGGTACGAGTTTATGCTGTGCGGTACTTGGATGAGGCATTGATTGTCACTTCTGGCTCTAAGCTGCTGACGATAGACATTAAAAATAGGATTTTTAAATATGTCGAGGGAAATATGAATCTGAAGGTAGACAAACTGAAGGCCCATATCCACAGTGCTGTCTCTGAAAAGATGGATTTTTTAGGAATGGAGCTCCAAGCTGTCTCTCCTTTGGTTCTTCACCCCCCACTGTCTGAAAAAGCCATGAGAGCAAAGAAGAAGCACCTCAAGCAAAAGGCAGCCAAAGCTCTTGAGCTGAAAAATGCTCGTGAAACAATAAGAAAGAAGCTCGGATTGAAGATAATGAAACATGTTTTCAAGAAGCTGAAGCGTGTTGGTGGGTTCAAAATTGATCTGCCTGTTGAGGGCGAAGTTAGAGAGCTGTTTAGGACTTGGGCAGAAGAAGTAGTGGTGGAGTACTTAAAATCGAAAGAAGATTGCTACCACTGGCATAAAATGCTAACTTATGGTAACTTCTTGTCTCTGAAGAGAGTGAGGGATCAGTTGCCTGAATCTTTAGTTGATGCTTATGATCAATTTCAGGAGAAATTGAATAAACATTTAATGCCTGAGAGAGCTAGCAAGCACGTTGAAGATAATGAAATGGTTGAAAAAGATGAAGAGAAGAGATATGCAAAGAGGACAGTGGAGGATTTGATAGAATTATGTATGAGAGTAAATGCACCAATAGAGCTTGTGAGAAGAGCAATAAAACTGGCTGGGTTTACAAACTCCATGGGACGGCCCAGGCCAATCAAGCTGCTTATCTGCTTGGATGATTCTGATATAATAAAATGGTATGCAGGTGTTGCAAGGTCATGGCTGGACTTCTACTGTTGCTGTCGCAACTTTAAGATGGTGAAAACTGTTGTAAGTTATCACTTGCGGTTTTCTTGTCTTCTTACACTTGCAGAAAAGCATGAATCCACCAAGAGTCAGGCCATTCAACACTATACCAAGGACTTAAGGATTATTGGTGAAAATGGAATGGAGGAAGTGTACTTTGCCACTGAGAAGGAAATAAAGATGTTGGGGGACAGAAACCTTTCAGATCCAAAACCTGTGGATGGTGCCATCACTATGGTTTTAGTCAGATTAGCAATCGATGAGCATTCACCGGTCTGTTTGGCCCATTTCTGTGAAAGCACAAATAACACTATCTATCGTGTGCGTTTGCTGCAAAACCGTTTAAATGTTGATCCGCTGAAAGAAGATAAATGGGTACCAGGGATGGGTGCAATTCATGAGGCTCTGAATAGAAAGTGTTTGCCTCTTTGCTCAAAGCATGCAACCAATTTGTTCATTGGAAATATCTGTCTTCAAGACATTGACTGCACCTCATTTCTGAATGCAGATTAAGGCTTCATTTGGGATGACTTTTTTATTATTTCTTAAAGCAGCTTTTTAGTAAAAAAATACATTTTTATACTAGAAAACTGCTTTAAGAAGCAAGAAGAAAGCCGTCCCAAACGAAATCTAAATAATTCAAATATGATAAGCTTGGAGGAAATTCCTCTAATTATTTTTCCCTTAGTTTGAAGAGCATCAGCAGCATAAGCAATTTAGATTTGCAGAAGATATCTGCAATTTAGATGTTGGAACTTGATGGAAGACACTCCTGCAAACTGTGATGTTCTATTTGGTTGCTTCTCGTTATCAGTAGAGATCTTGATTTAATAGAATTTAGATTTGCAGAAGATATCACTATAGATCGGTACAGAATATCACTGGCTTTCTCGGTATAGCTGCTGCTATATGAAGAACTAAAGTAGGATATTTCCTCTCAGCTCAAAGTTTGGATTGAAAATTGGATAGATTGTTTAACATTGAACATTAGTGGTATGAATAATTGTCGGTTTGGCTTGAGGTACTTTTACTAAAATGTTCCAAGATTTTTTTAAGCATATTAATTTATCGTTTCTATTATCTGATAATGATATGTTCGTGTTGCTTTGCAGATCACTGCATTTTTCTGAGCAGTTTGGAAGTCAAGGTTTATGATACCGTCATCATGTCTCTTGACGTAATGTATGTGGTATTTCTTACAGATTTTTTTTCTTCTTTAATTCTATATGTATGAATGCATATACGCATATATTCATTCATGCATCTAAATTTGAATGAATCTAGATATGCATCAATGCATTTGTACATATAAATCAATATATGTACTTGTCTATACATCTAGTTTTTTTCCTCAGCAATTCCTTTTTTTAATTGTTATTACTTATAACAATTATGTCATTGAGTGTTTTATGAAGAGGGTATGATCTCTTAGTTTATTTGTATCTAGCTCCTTTTATTGCCTTCATAAATCTGCCAAACTCTGCTCTTGGGAATATTCAAGACTATATAGAGACTTTTTTAAGATTTCCAATTTTGTTCTTTTTGAAATAACTTTCAAATCCAAGTGATGGATTTCTTTAACATCTACATGTAAGAAAATATTATTTAAACCATATTTTTGCATGATTCATCTAAGTTTAGTGGCTAGATAGATAAGATCCAAATTTTGTTTATTTTTGTAACAATAACAAAATGTTTTTGATAGTCAATTCCGTAAGATTATTAGTCCATCAAAGCTAATTACAGAAAAATGAAAAAAATTCCCCAAGCAGGGTTGGCAATTTGAGGGAGCACATGGATTGCAATCCTAAGGTCACAAGAAGATCGATCTAATGGTTAGAACTTGTAATCCATCTAAAGGATCTCTACTAAGGTTGGTTGATATGTGGTTACCACAAAGGGTTAGCCATGCATGGTATTGGGGTGGGAGATCATGTTTGTTTAGGGTGTGGACCCCACTATAGCCTGCATATATGAATTGCTTTTTTGTGCTAATCTATCTCATCTGACTTCTAGTAGTTTGGAGGAAGCTTATGAAGATCATAAACTTTTTTCATTATATTTGGTTGCACTGAAGTACTTATGATGATTGGTTTGCTATAGTTTTTGGTTCTTTGGCCCAGCTTAAGTTGTCAGAGTAGATGCTTTTCTACCTTGTTCTTTGCAAATTAATATTTTTTTAAATAGTGATGTGTCTATCACCTACAAATGCTATGATATGAGTGATATGATAGCTATCCTACACCCTTTAACTTAAGCATTCAGACCAAGATCCTACTGGAATTTCTTGTATTTGGCATTATCTGACTATTCCATTATGCCTCAAGCAGACAGAAAAAGGAAGACCGTAGTTGTCGTCCATGGAGGGTGCCTGATTTTCTTATGGATTAACTACACAATTCCAGTTTTGTTATAATGGAAAATAATAATGCAACATATGAGTGTGTGAAAGTACTAAACATTCATTTTTCAATTTTTCGTATGGGCCACTTGGGCGTGGCAGATGGTATCTGAATATTTTTTAATGCTTTGAGCCTGTTTTTCTGCCACAAAATTAGTTTTTTTGGTGCATTTTGTTTTTTCCATCTCACCAATATCCACACTATACACCTTTTGCTTTTCTCATTCTTATTCCTGAAAATCTCTTGGGGCACGATTAAAAAATTGGCACTTCATTCAATTATTGATAGCGGCGATGGGGTTTTTTATTGAGTGGTGTATTTAATGTGCATATGCTGAGCGTAATTATACTGAATTTTTTGTGTTAGATCTACTATTGAGCTTGAGAATACAAGATTTGAGGTACAGGTCTTAAACAGGCAGAAGAAATTGCAAAAACTGTATAAAAAGAAAAATGTTTCATATATGATGCAAACTCATTTTAATTTTTTCATTATGTGAATATATTTATTGATTCAAATAAATAATATATGAAATTTTACTTAATTGTAAAAAACTATATAAATCTTTGTTGTGATATATTTTACTAGCTAAAGTAATATCATCATAGATATGAGGCATTCTAATGCAAAATTTTAATTATCATTCTTTGCAGTATCTTATGATGGCATAATGCAGTTTAAATTGGATGCATTGGATTATATTTCATTTGAAATGTTTGGTTGAATGTAATATAAATTTTGTGAGATGATTTATTTTGTTTAGTTGAATGTATTTGAAATACAATATTACAAAAAATAACAATATTCTTCTAGCAAACATAATGGCATGGGTTTTCTCAATAAAAAAATGTAAGGAGTGAGTGGAAAGGCTTGATGAAATCCTCTCTCTCAAGCTCGCCAGGTTCCCCTTTTATATACTTGATTTATTCCCCTTCATATATTTGACAACATTCTCGTTACATTTACCACGCAGTTACTTACCTTGCTGGCCACCTAAGGGTGATCTGTTTGGGATAATAAGAATTTTAATGGCCTTGATGTGGGTGTCACGACAGGCCTGGGCATGTTGTCCACCATGGAGGTCATTGGAAGACTTAGGGTTTATTTGGAGCCGCTTTGTCATTATTTTGCTTTTTTAAGATTACTGTTATATTTTCGTTTAGCTACTATTTTTGATGAGGACATCCGGCCGTAGAAAGTTTATTAGAGAAAGGGTCGGAGTTCTACGGATAGAATCGGATTGCTCCATTTTTATAACACACCGTGTGGGATAAAGAGTTGAAGATGTTGTTGTTTATAGTATTACTTATAATTTTTTAAAAATTTATGTGATGAGAAACTGCTTTGTACAATTTAGTCTTCTAGGCTAATTGTAAAAAAACCGTTTTGTTGCTTATAAAATAATCTATAATATCCATTATAGGTTCAAAAAAAATTACACTCATTTTTACAAAAAACTACAACTATTTCAAATAGATCCTTGGAGTTAGCATCAAATATAAATTTCAAACTTATGAGGCTTCATTTCTCCATCATTATGTTGAGATCGAACATAGGCTGGTGTAGATCATTGAACATCATGATTATAAGCTTGTTTGGGGTGGTTTTCTCATTATTTTATTTTTTAAATTGTTGTCATACTTTTGTTTGGTTATTGTTTTATCGCTATTTTGTTGAAATTTTTATAATGGAAAGCTACTTTTAAGAACAAGAATTATTATTGCTTGATAGTTGAGAAAAAGTAGTTGTCCTGCTTTAAAAAATATTTATGATAGTCTTAACAGTTTTCAAAAAAAAAAAAATCCTACAGTAACTTTACAATCCTATTTATTAAAGTTATAACTGCCCCAAATGGACCGTATGTGTTTAATGTTGATGTCGGTGATATACTTGGCCTTAATGAAGGTGAAGGAGGAGCTCAGGAGACCATCTTTTTAATGGTTTTATGAATTGAACGGTGAGATCATCATTTTTCTTCTTCAGAAGAGCGTGGCCACTGTTCACATAGACCACATACGCCTTCATCATGCCCAACATAGTCACCGTTGGAACAATGTTTTGAGGTGGATTTTTGCCGCAGGAGAAGAACGAAAAACTATTTAAATGAAACAAGGTCGATTCGGGTGACTTTCTTTCTGCTGCAAAAGAAAGCTTCTAATGAGGTATTTTAAATACTTCAACTCTGTTTTACACTCATTATGCGACCAATCAAACAACCCTTAAATTACTTCACTTCTTTGTGGTCAACACAGTCTTAATATTTAGCTAAATCATTACTGGAATAACATGGATGATGAACTAGTTGAAGCTATTTATTAGTGTTTTACTGTCTTTGGCTTCTTTATTACTCAATATATTTTTTTTCTTCTGTTCTTGCTCTATCTTGTTCTAGTAGTGTTCTATAGCAGAAGTGGCGTTGGTATTTGTTTGAGAAATTATTCTGTGTGGTCAAATTTTGTCGTCCAGATGTCTAAGCCCGCAGCTCGGTATTGCTGATGTGGCTCATTCTGTTTGATATCCAGATGTAGAGTTGTGTTCGACTTCCGCATGGAATAATCTCTCCTGACTTTGTGGCTTAACTGGCAATATGGTTTGGAGATATTTTTAAGGTAAGGTGATGTCCTTATTAATTCATTAAACGTTATCTAATTAATGTTTCAGACCAATTATCTTTTTGTTTGGTAATTGGTAGTGCCCTTCTCGAACTATAGGAATTGCATTCATTCAGTTTGGCATCAATAGAGGACACTTGGAGAAAGGTAAAAAAAAAAAACAGTATTTTGCTTCCTGATGTTCATTATTTCAGATTATCCAGTATGTATTTAAGCTTTTGGGGATTTTTGGGTTAAAAAACTTATTGATGCATGACTAAAATGTTTTAATTGCATGCGTTAAGAATTTGCACGATTTTTTGAATAAAACAATTAGGATTAGCAGTCAAAACGACAAAAGAAAACAAGAGAGGGGTGCCTACGTTTAGGCTAAGCTACTTGCCAAGCGCTTGAATTATCAAAACAAGTTAGAAATTCAACAACATGCGAAGTAAATAGCTTTTAACAAAATCCCTAATCTAACAGTAAGATTAGAAGTATAGAAAACACGCTTAATCTTACGTTTACTAAGCTTAGGCATAAGGCGAAGCACGTCTCCTTGTGATTTGTCACCACCTACAAGATTAGGGGATTATGAAGGTAATTGAAAAGGAGAAGAATGTTCACCTTGGTCAAAGCCCGGAAACAAGTAGTCGAGATGTTGAAGAAGTTCGTCGTAGCTTCCCTTGAAGGTTCAACTAGAGTGAGAAGTTTCTCCCAAGCATTGAATGCCTATTTAAATTACTAAATTAAGTTTGGAAAGAAAATATCTCATCCCCTCTTAAATTAAAATTCAAATAGGAGTGAATTTAGTAAGTTGCCTAAAATAAGATTTTATAAATTAGGTAACTTTTCAAATTCAAATTGATTTGAATTTGATTATGAAGGGAGTTACCAAATTTATGGAATCTAAGTTAGGAAAGTGGTGGTGGCAAGTGACGAGGGGAGAGGAGCCAAGGGTGGACGGTGATGAGGGGGGGCCGTGGGTGAGGATGGGGGTTGGGTATGGCGACGAGTGAGGGTGGGGGTTAACTGGCCGACGGCTTTTGGGATCCGGGATGGCTTGTGGCCGGCGGCAAAGGGATGAGAGAAGAAAGACAAAGAGATAAAGAAGAAAGACCACGAGCCCGGCCGTCTCCAAAGCTGGTGGGTGATCCGATTTCCCTCTCCTAGGGATTTCTCTCTCAAGCAAATTCAAGATCTCACAAAGAAACCAAACACGAGAAATTTTCTTATCATCATTTATTCCCTTAGAAGAGAAACATAAGGGATATAAATAGCCTCGTACAAAATGATTCAAAATAAAAAGGCGACAGTGCCCTTGGGGCTTACATACGACCTCCCTTAAGTAAGAGGTAAAATGGGAAAAACAAATACAACATAAATAAGACGAGACAATTAACATAATAAAAACAAATACATGAAATGACTCAAAAATAGATCGACTCGATCATGGCCATAGATCGATGGCCACGCCTCTGATATATTTTTCATTCTCTAATGTCCCCATCACTTATAGGGTTATAATTTGACTAACTGCCCCATAATTTTTTGAAAGAATCAAACTTCTTTATTACAAACTTCTTTGATATTTATGGGTGGTTGGGCTGTGTGATGACAAGTTGATTGCAATGAGACATATGGTACATAATCGATATGCTGGTTGGCTTTCGGATGGTAAATAAGCCATAGCTATAATTGAAGGTTTTGTACCTCTCCTCAATTAGAATATTTGGTATGACTAAAAAGGTTAAACTCTAGCTGAACCCAGACTTAATTTACTCTAGTAAACCTCAATTTACTCTAGAGTCAAAGATTTCAACTAGTATTGAACTCTTGAAGCATGCTTTACATTGTTTCTCTTTAAAGTACTCCATTGGACTAGCTTAAGAGAGGAGAATTAGAGGCACATTATACCGCTCCTCTTATAACCTAACTTCTAAAACCTAAGGCTGGGTCCACCCCATTTCCCCCATTATATCTTCTCTCTTCATTTCTACTCTTGATTACTTAGACTCTCTCACTCTTTGGGCTTTCTTTCTTTAAAGGCTATAAATTCCACTCTCTAAAGATCAATTATTTAGGATGTTAAGTTCTACTCATTGGGTTTTCATTAATTATCACCCATGTTTCCTTGAGTTATCTAATAGGATATATAACTTCTAGCTACTAATCATAGCAGTTAGTGATGCAACTTTGTCTCTGTAACAGATAGAGTGGGCTAATTAAGTTGCCATAAAATGATAAAATTATGAGATTTTGATTTAGTATTAATCATTTAGGCTAATTTAGGCAAACTCATGCACACATTACATATGCAAGTTTCGAACTCAAAACCTCCTGGTTGATTGTCAAAGCGCCCGACCATCATACAAATGTGAGTTGCGCCTTACTCTGTCTTCTTTGCTAATGAACTTTAGCATATAAAGTATAACTATTATTCTTAATCAAGAGTGTTCTTTACATCTAATTGTAGATATAATTAATTTAGTAGGCGTCATCATAATTCTCATTAGAATTAAAAAAAAAAAGTCAAATCATCTATTATTTAAGGATCTATTTGAGATAGCTTTCTAGTTACTTTGCTTTTTATACAACCATCACAATTTCATTTGATTACTATTTTCTTGTTGTTTTCTTAATATTTTTTTTTTTAAAAATTGTGATGAAAAGTTGTTTTATACAATCATAGAAAAAAAAATGTTTTCTCCACAACAACTTTATAACTAACTTTATAAAAAATTATAGTTATCCCAAATAGAAAAAAATTATTCTTTGCGGACACCGGACGTCATCCAACTAGAACGTGACATGCCACTTTTTTGTTCGGTACGGGTGCTGCGTACCAGGTGACGTAGCGCATTCTGATTAACCTTTGAGCTATCTGATGTCTGCACAAAATAATTTCTCTCCAAATAGATCCTAAGATGAACTCTCATAACTTTTCTTTTATTTATTTTACCATTTTGAAGTCTCCTCCTATGATCTTCCCCAAACCCTAAAAAAGGCAATAATAAGTTCCTAAAGTGCATGAGCCGAACAGACCCCACAAGTGGGCCCCTTATTAACCCATGATCATATCGTATTATGTTTTTGATCAAATAATATAGTTAGAGAAAAATGGGTGCAGTGCACGGGCAGAGAGCGAGAGATGAGAAATAGAAAGATTTGATGATAGAAGCACGTGGCTTCTTATTATTACCTGTTTATAACTTTCTTCCATGAGGCAATGGGTTCGTATGGTATTATTGTTGGACAATGCTGCGGTGGGCTCACAAATGACCAAACAAAGACAACAAAAAAGGCGAGGAGAAGGTGGGCTTCCTCTGTGGCTTGACCAAAGCTTGGAGAACTGCATTTATATGTTCAATAATGTAATTTTCAATAATTTTAATTATTATAAAAATATATGTTTTTATTTTTTTTTTTAAATTATATATGTGTGATTACTATAGAGTAATAAAAATGTGTCGAAAATGAAGTCTTTAAGCTTCGTTTGGAGAAACTATTCTGTGCGGAAATCAGATGCAGAACACCGTCCGGAGACCAATGATAATACCCCACATCAGTGGTACTGAGCTGTATCAAGCTGCAGTATTGAGCACAGGGGTGACGTGACGTGACGTGACGCATTCTAGTTGGTCTCTGGATGATGTTTAGCGTTTGCACAGAATAATTTATCCTTCATTTGGGGCAGCTTTCTTATTGCTTCTCAAAGTAAATTTTGTACTAGAAAGTTACTTTAATAAGCAGTAAGAAAGTCGTCTCAACGAAGCCTTAGTCTCCATTGTAATTTATATATGTAAGTACATATGAGTGATTATTTATCAATTAGTTTAAATGAAGATATAATTATGTAAATTTAAAGGTGATGTAAATTGTTTTTTTTTTTCTGAAAAAAATTATTTATGCAAGCACACTTATATGTTATATGATGAAATTAAAAATTTTGAGGGGCACATATGTGCTCCTAGCTATTTGTCCTAATTCAATAAATTGAAGAGGGAGAGTCCCTATACAATTACAAGTCTTGATTTAATAAATGTTTGCATAACTTCACTAAAGGTAGGAAAAATATAATAATGAAAAAAAAAATCAATTATTCTTCACCTATATATTGTGGATTTTATTTATAGATTTCTTATGCCCAATTCAAAATTATTTCATATACCAACCGTATGTCTCACATCATGCATCTTATTGATATCATTGGCTTATATTTTAAAAAGAAAAAAATATTAACCCGTATTTTTATAAAGTATCATGTCGTTGTTAACCTGAATCATAATATCCAATTTTTTTTTTTACGTACACATATTACATATTATTCATATTATATTAATATTTGTAATATTAAAATTATAACAAACATACATCTAATCATGTTATTGACAGTGCATCTAAAACTTCTTGTTAAAAATTTAAATGCATTCATTTTAGCATGTATATAACATTCATATGTGTTATTTATTTTATACTAATATGATGCGACATAAACTTATTAAAATATTAGATGTACATATATTATCTAGATTAAGATATATGTTTTAAAAAATAAGAAACATGAGGGGAAACTTCAATATAATCATATAAATATGTGTAGAATAAATAGAATAATAATATATTTAAGGTTATATGATGAAAATTTTATGATAAACTTAAATTTAGTAAATATTAATAAATAAAATCACTAGAAATATAGATAGGGTAATCAAACCTATTTTAAGACTTGCCAATCTAGTGAAAACGATCTTAAGACCCTCAAAATCTCTCTCCAACCTAGTGAAAACGGAAAATGAATATGACCTCAATCTCTCTCTCTCTCTACATAAATTGCTTTTTTGGATTTTTTTTCTCATTGGAATAAATTTTTTATATATTACAATTTACAACTCATTATAGGGAAAACTCTAAAAACTTTTGAAAAGAGAAAAATTACAGGATCACACACAGCTGAAATTATTTTATTAGTATTTGATTAGATTACAAATGGTTGTTTTGCCCCTGAAATTGAGGATGATCAGGTTACAATAATCAACTGTCGGGTTTAAATCCAATTACGGGCAGAGATCGGAAATGCGGCGACGTTTAGTGGTCGGGCGAAAATCTGGCTTTAATTAACAGTCTAGCGAAAGTTTGGTGTCAGTCATCAATTGGCAGAAGTCCGGCGTCAGTCGGTGGTTGGGCAGAGGTCCGACGTTAGTCGACTGCCTAGTGGAAGCCCGATGGTGGTCGGCAGTATGACAAAAGTTTGACGTTAGTCGACTGCCAGGTGGAAGTTCGACGATGGTCGAGGAGTTTGGTGGCAAGAGAACTTAAGTTTCTCTTCTTCCTTCTCTTTCTTGCTTGAGTCCGCTTTCATGAGAAATGAGAGGTCTATTTGTACCTTTTTTAGAGTGGCATGACCAGTAAATAAAAGGAAAATCAAGAGTAAATTGGGAGTGATTTGAATGAACGACCAATGTTGAATCTCTTAATCGTGGACTGTTTATTAGGCATTTGAATGTCTTAATGATATCAGAATTTGACGATCTTGGGCTTGTTGTATTCTTCTCGTCGAGCCACTCGATTCGATTATAAGCATGTCACGTTTGGAAGTCGTTTGGTAATCCAAATTATGGTTTGAACATTCCAAATGTGCTTCGGGTTCTTGATTTGGACCCATTTAAGCTCGTATTAGGTCAAATTTGGTGTCGTTGGGTTCATATTTTCCAAACATTTAGTTCAGTTGTAAGTTTGCTAAAATTGGAGTTCATATGGCCCTGAATCTAATTTTTGCAGTTTCCAACTTGATTTTGCCTTCATATTCATGCCCGATCAAGATAATTTTTTGATGATATATCACTTATGTTTAGGGCTAGTTTTCTTACTGTTTTTTAAAACAGTTTTGTAGTATAAATTTTTAATTTAAGAAAATTTTATATTAAAAATCTACTTTAAATATTAGTCCCAAATAAAGGATTCGTTTGGGACGAATTTTTTTCGTGCTTCTTAAAACAACTTTCTAGTACAAAAATTAAAAATTTTGTACTAAAATGCTGCTTTAAAAAGCAGTAAAAAAGCCGTCCCAAATGAAACCAAAGTCTTGGAGTACGGGGTCTTTTAGAATCTAAGATGTAAATTTACATCTCTATTGTTGCAAGTTTTGCCATGAAAGTTAATAATGATAAATTTTATAAGTTATTTTTTAATTTCTAATGAGTGAATTAATTAAAATGCTAATCTCTATTATCTCATGTTTTGCAACAAGCAATGAATATATTCTCTTCATCTATCCGACAAATTATTTAAATTGTATAATTAATTTGTCTAAAGTCAATTAAAACTTTAATTTTATGAAAGATAAAAATTATCTTAAATAGATTATTATTTTCGTCAAAAAAGGCAAAGCAATGATTACAATATTATGGCTTAAATATTTTATACCAACTCCAAAATAGTTTTAAATTAAAAATAGTAAGAGAAATCTATTTTAAAATATTTAATTTATAGTTTTAAATGTTTTGGTGCCTTAATAAGAGAGTTGCTGTTAATTCTAAGCGCCAATTTTATAAAATGTCTTGAGAAGGAAAAAATAAATATTAATTAATTTATGGATTCAAAATTAATAATAATTATAAATTAGAAAAAATATATATGTTTGAATTTACAAAAGCTATTTAATATAGATAATTCCAATATTTGTCGGACTAGGACTTTATTTGAAATAGTTTTTTTGATTGGTTTTATGATAACAAAAATAATAAGTAAAAATATTTATTTGAAAGACAGCTTTTTAATCGTAATTTAAAAGTTCTATCTTTGAAAATTTACTTTAAAAAATATTTTAAATCGCAGCTAAGAAAGAAAATATTAACTGCCCAAAAAAATTTCTAAATTTTTTTAAGGAAAATCAATTTGATTTACATTCATTTTATCATTTTAAGGGGTATTTTATTTCATTTAAAAACATGAAAAATAAAAATAATTTTAATTTTAAAAAGAAATAAAGATTATCTTAATTTTAAAGTCTACTAAAACTCTTTTCAAATAACTATACATATTACAGCATTTTTACCTAAATGTCATTCAGAAACTATAAGAGTTAAAGATCTCAGTTGCATTTCCATGCAATTGCTATTGACAATTATCATCAATTATCACCACCACCCTCATATAACTTTCGTCATCTAAATATTATTGTCTGATTACTAACATTCATTTTTAATGTTGGATGTAAATTATGCTCGCTTGTAGACATTTGACTTTTATAGTATTTATAACGAAATTAGATAATTATTTTTTATTATGTAATTTCATCTTCAATTGTAAAGAAAAGGGCGCTCTTCTATCTAATGTCATTGACAATATTTATATATATGCACGCTGAATGACTGAATCTTTGTTCCAGTTTGTTTTTTTTACTGTCATAATTTTTTTTTTGCACATAACAAATATTGTTAAATTTGATATGTCACCAAAATTTTATATTTATCGGGAACAAATCTCGATGTAAATATAAGATTGAGGCTGCAAAAATAAAAAACAGGATCATATGATATCCAATTTCAACAAGCTTATAGTTAAATTGAACATCTCAAGTAGACGAACCCAGCAACATCAAATTTGATCCAATCCGAGCTAAATTGAGTTCACATCAAAGATCAAAAGTTTATTTAGAAGCTTTAGAGCATTAATTGGACTACCAAACGATATTGAATATGACACGCTTATAACTAAATCTAGCGGCTCCATGAGACAAATCCAACGAGCCCAATATCACTTAATTCTGCCTATCTCTAGGGCATCTGAATGCTTTATAAACACTTCATGATCAAACGGATCACTATAAGCCGTCTGATGAAACACTCTGAACATGACATTGATCTTCTTCCTATTTGCTAGTCATCCTACTTTCAAAAAATTATAGATAGCACATCATTCTTCACATGTGAGAGATGAAGAAAAAGAGCAAACTTAGAGAGCCCACTTGCTGTCGACCACCGTTAGATTTCCTCTCGACTATCGACTGTCGCTGGAATACTACTCATTTGTAAACTACCATCGTACGTATCTCTTTCCAACCAATAGTCGTTGCTAGACTTTCGTTCATTTGACTATAGTCTGAACTCTTTTGTGGATGCTATCCATGCCAGATCTCCTCTCAGATATTGTCGCCTCCCGACTACGATCTTTTTTACACCTGTAGCCTATCGACTATGTCTTTCCAACCTCCGTTGCCCGCCAACTATGGTCTATCTGACAAACATCTCTAGACTACAGTCTCCTCAACCCCCGTCACCATACTATGGTCTTTCCAACCATCGTCACATGACTACGGTCTTTCCAGCCTCCATAGTGTGCTGACTATGATCATTCGGGTCGTTGTAACCTTACTATGGACTTTTTGACCTCTGTCACCAGCCTACTACGATCCTTTTGACTACAATCACCTGATTATGGTATTTATGACCTTCGTCGACCTCCGACCAACCACCATCGCTCGGTTATGGTATCTTTGACCACCATCGCAAGAGTATGGTCTCTTAGACCATCATCACCCGAAAACGGTCTTGCCGACCACCATCACCTGACTATAATCTTTCCGGCCTCCGTTGCCTGTCTACTACGATCCTTTCAGCATGCGTTGCCATAACTACTGTTTTTTAGACCTTCGTCGCCCATCAAATATAGTTTCTCCAACCACCATCGCCTAACTACAGTCTCTCCGACCACCGTTGCCAGACTTTGGCCTCTCCGATAATCGTTGTCGGACTATGGTCTTTCAAACATTTGTCGTTCGAAAATTTTAGTTCCGTCGACCACTGTTGCTTGAATACGGTCTTTCTAACAGACATCGCTCGATTATAGTATTTCCATCCCCAGTTTCCAGCTGACTATAGACTCTTCGACCATAATCTCTAGACTATAATATCCCTGACCTTGCCAGCTATGATCCTTTCAATCTACATCGCTCACCAACTAAGATCATACAGACCAAATGAACATGCCAATGCTGATTATTCCAACTCTCACCATGTAATGCCCTCTATATGATGTATATTGGCTACATCAAGCCAAGGCCTCCCCCGAAGAAAGGGTCTTAATTGTAATCAACTGCACACAAGTGAATTCATTCAAATTGGGGCAAGACCCCATTTTTTCCTCTTTCTTTGATTTTCATGTAAAAAAATTCTAATATCTCTTATGAGCATTGCACCCTTCCTCTTTTATCTCTCTATATGCTAGATAGCTTAATATAATATAACATACATGCAAATTAAAATTAAATAAAAAATGTTAGTAAATATAACCAAAAAATTTTTTTTTTGAGGCTTTAACGAGCGCCGGCATACCGCCTCAGCATTAAAAGTCCACTCACTCCATCTCTTTCTCTCTCCATCACCATCTCTTATTTCTCTCTCTATCACTATATCTCCCTTCCCCCGCCGGTATACCTCTATTATACCGCACAACTCATACCAGTCTTCCCTTCCAGAGATTTCTCCATTATATTCCTTTCTTCCGCTCTCCTCTCTCTCTCTCTATGTACCCTTAAACCCTCAAAACCCCTGAAAGAACTCTAAGATCGAAAACTTCGAGCTCTCCGAAACCTGAAGAACCAAAGAGGGGAGAGAGATGGAAAGGGGATTCAGCGGGAATCTCTTAGATCCAAGCGCGCTGGAGTTCTACCCTGCAAACCAGTTCGGCTCGGTACCCGCTCAAATTTACTTCCCCTACCCTCCTCCTCCTCCTCCTCCTCCTCCGCCCCTTCCGCCGCCAGCCGCCTACCATCCAAATTTACAGCTACATCACCCCTTACCAGACGACGGCGAGCCAACGCGAGCCGTTATTCTGAGCCTCCTTCCCCCTCACATTGACGAAGCTTCAGTAATGGCGGCCATGGAAGCCTTCGGCGCCGTCAGATCGCTAGACTCCGCTTCTCTAACCTCCGATGGATCCGCCACAGTCCACTTCTACGACCTCCGTAGCGCTATCGCCGCTGTCTTTGAGATCCGCGACCAACACATGCGTCAGCAGAGTTTCCTCAGTAGACAATACGGCGTCGTCCCAGCTAATTGGGGAGTTGTCGAGTGGCCTTCCGTAGCTACTGATCTATCCTTCTCGGCCGCGTCTGCTGGGGGTCGCGGCCTCGTCGCCGGCCAAGCTGTCTGGGCTCAGTTCGGGTCGAGAGGCGTCGACGGTCCTAACCAAGGCTCTCTCTTTATCTCCAATTGTGATCCCACTCTCCCCTCCGCCTACCTCGCCCAACTGTTCGGCTCTCTCGGTAACATTAGTAGAAAGAAAGAAAGAAAGAAAAAAAAAAAACGTTGGTTTTTTTAGATGTTTCCATTGCTTGATATATGTCGGCTGAATCTTACCTGCTATGATTATCTTTTTCGATTTACCTTTCCCCGGCTACCCTTTTTATGGGAAGTTCGATTGTTTATTTTTTTCTTTAAAAGTAAATTCATTCATTCCACCATTGCTTAGGCGATGTGAAGGAAGTGAAGGAGACGATATGGAAGCCACAGCAGCGATTTATCGAGTACTACGACATAAGAGACGCCGCTCGAGCTGTGAGTGAGCTTAACGGGAAAGAAGTTTATGGCCGAAGACTAGTTGTCGAATTCTCCTGTGCAGCCGGGCTCACCAAGAGGTTAGTTAATATTTAATCAATATATATATAGCTTCCTCAGATTCTAACACATTGATAAAATCATTAAAGAAGCAACCTTTCTGTTATTACAGGAGAAGCACAGGCAGACAAAGCCGCAGCTTCGGCCAGCCGCCTCCACGTCTTCTACGGACAGCTTCGCCACAGTCCGGCCGATGGGTGGCCGCGGCGAATCCGTTGTCATCGTCGTCCTCAGAAAGAGGATCCAATAGAAAAGTTGGGAAAAGCGGGCGAGAGGATAAAAGGGGAAAGGGAAGGCAGGAACAAACAGCATTAACAACCACAGCAGCGTCATGTTCATCGTCTTCATCATCATCAATAGTCGTAGCCAAGCAGCAACAGTTGAGCAGTAGAGGGTGGAAGAATCATTCAAGGAATGGTGGGGATTCGAGGTTTCAATTCAAGGAGACAATGACGATGGAGGAAGGATCTTCTCCGACTTGCATTATGGATTCAAGAACAACAGTCATGATTAAAAACATCCCAAACAAGTACAGGTAGAGAGAGAAGGGGAGAAGCGAGAGCTTTATTGAAGTGTAGATTAAATGTATGAGATTGAAGATTTTAATTATCTGTGAGGTTTTGCATTTGCAGTCAGATGCTTTTGCTGAGAATGCTGGACAACCACTGCATACGGTGTAACGAGGAGATTGGAGAAAGAGGAGAAGAAGAGCCTTTTTCTGCTTATGACTTTGTCTATCTCCCAATCGATTTCAAGTAAGTTTCTCTCTCTCTTCCAACGCTTTTAGTTTTCCATGATATTAAAAACAAGGGAGGCAATAGGCAAGTAGAGTATAACAAGCAAAAAATTATGGCAATAGGTGGAATCAGAGAAAAGGGGAGGTTGCAGGTGCTTGAGTGAGTATAAGCTGTGGCAGTTGCAGGGATAAGAAAGAGACCGAAAAAAGAAAGAAAAGAGAAGGTAAAAAGGATCAATGCGAGAGTTTTTTGTTTTGTGTTTTGAAGCCAAGCCAAACAAAGCCATTAGTCCTCTACTTTCCCTCTTCTTCTCTCCTTCTCCATCTGAACCGTACACTGCAACTCACGCAAATGGCAATCAACCCGCTGCCATATAAAGACACACCCTTCCTTTCCTTTATTGTTCTCTTCTCCTTCCCCCTCAATAACAAAGCCAGACTAGCATAAGCTAGCCGGAGAAGGAAACGGGAACGTGATAGATTCATAGAGGGAGAGAGAGAAAGACGAAGAGAGAGAAAAGAAGAGAACTTTAGACATGAAATAATAATTAGAAGAAGAGGGGCGCAGCAATGGAATAATAAAGGGAAAGCTCCTCCCCACTAGTCGTATAGATCATATCGTTGATTTCGAGTAAGTTGGAAAAGACTTATCAAAGCGCTCAAAAACAAAAAACCAAACAAATAAAAATATAAATTCCTGCTGTAAGAAGTGATGTCGAGTTAACAGCGAATTTTATAAATCAGAATTTATTATAATATTATAAATTACTTTTCTTTTGATTTTATGTGGCTCAGCAACAAATGCAATGTGGGTTATGGATTTGTGAACTTGACGTCGCCGGAGGCGGCGGTTAGGCTTCACAGAGCGTTTCATATGCAGCCATGGGAGGTCTTCAATTCTCGGAAGATCTGTCAAGTGAACTATGCTCGATTGCAGGTCTAAATTTTATCTTAAAAAAGTTTCCTTTTACTTAAAATTAGAAAGATTTCAATTTTTTTCTTGAAAATTTCGTTTGAATTTGTAGGGTTTGGAAGCATTGAAGGAGCATTTTAAGAACTCGAAATTTGCTTGTGATACGGACGAGTATATGCCTGTGGTATTCTGTCCGCCGCGAGATGGGAAGCAGATGACGGAGCCTGTTCCAGTCGGCGGCCGCGGATTGATGCGGCGGTCTCTTAATCTAGACCGTACATGCGGCGGCGTTGGTGAGACCGAACCGGAGCCTTCGGATCCGGGGGAAGCTGCCTCTTCTACTACAGCCTCTACGCACGCCCCGTCGGACAACGGCGATGGAGTTGATGACGATCGGGATGACGGCGACGGCGACGGCGATGAGACTGCTTCTGGTCTTTCCCAAGCTCTGCTACAGCTATCCTATTCTTCTCAAAGCTAGGCAGTCGAGACGATATTACCCTCGGTTCTCTCTCTCTCTCTCTCTTGGCGCTTCGTGACGATAGAAGAGACTATGATGAATGATGAGATTTTTATAATTAATCATATAAGAGAAGTTGCGATAAATGATACACGTAATTTTATTTTATTTTTTATTTCTGATTTTTTTGTTAAAATTTCAAGAATTTATTCGCGTAATTTTAATTGGAAATAAATATTGTTTTATAATTTCAAAAATAGCCTAAAATATTTTCATTAAATTTGTAGTTATCATAAAATTCAAAATTATTAATTTCCTATCAAGATTACTACCTTTTTTAATATATTTTTTACCATTTTGTTTTCATTAAGATATATTTATAAAATTCATTTAAAAATAATTATCATAAATGGATTAACTTTTAATTTCATTAATCTTAAATTAATTTCAATATCTTTTCTATTTTATATTTTCGTCTTTTTATCTTCTCTCGCTCTCCAAAGCTCTCACATGCCAACTTCCATTTGATGGTTCTCTCTAATTACATCTATTAAATAATTTAGATTGCCAATGTTAATTTGGTAATGAATGTCATTAAAATTAAGTTGGTGTGATTAGCGAAGATTAATCATTTAATTAAGGGAGAGCTGTCCTCGTGCGTTTGTGTACCAGCAGGTATTGGGACAAATGCCGGTCGCTTGGGGCCTGAAGAGAAGATTATTTTCAGGTGTTAATTTTATGCGAAGCACCACGTAATGGTGCATGAATTTTGCAAATATGCCTCTCCAGGTTTTGAGGTGCAAAAAGAAAAAAGACTATAGTAATTATTTATTTTATAATATATTATTGGTTCCTAGGAAATGTAATTTTATTTTTGGATGTACGGAAACAACATAGAACAATGTAATATTGTTTTGATTGCTGTGCGTATTTGACCTTTTGTATCATCGTTTAGTTAGTTTGCTGTTACAGGTTTTTTTTTTTATATTATATAGCTTTAGTGGCTGAGAAAGCTCAATGTCTTTATGTTTTGTTCTTGCTCTTTGAGCTCATATTTTATATCTTAAATGGTCATTAGGAGTAAATAAATGCTTTTTTGTATGATCTCTTGGTGGTTTGCATGAAGTTGCTATAAGAGCTGAATATTATTTTTGGAGCAATTTTTTATAGTTATTTTCCTATGAATAAGGTTTAGATTTCGTTTGGGATAATTTTTTAATTGCTTTTTAAAATAATTTTTTAATACAAAAATTAAAATTTATGTACTAGAAAAGCTGTCTCAAACGAAGCCTTAGTGTTAAATATTCTTCAATAATTTTTGTGATGAATAGGCTGCAATGTTTGTTGAATATGTTAGTGGTCAAATTTCTTTAAAAAGATTAATGATTGAGGTTATATGTCAATCATTTAGGGTTTTTGTACTATGAATCATTGCTTTTGAACATTTCTTCTTCCTATGTGTTTTATGGATCATTAATTATGTGCTTAATTATATGATGCATGAGTCATTAGATCTTAATTATGTGCTTAATCATAATAAATTTAGAACTAAGCTTAGTCATTAGAGTTTCAATTAAATTGAAACCTCATAATTTTAGCAAAATTATTGAATTTTATATCTCTTAATTGTTGGGAGTATTTGATATTCCATTAGTTGAATCTCATCTTATTCTTATCCAACAATTTTAAACTTATAAGACTCAAATGCTTAACACATAGAATATAAAAGAATTGTGCACTAAACAATATTCCTTATATTAAAAGCTTGAAAGATAAAAACATTTCTTATGCTAAGAGTATAGCTAAAAAATATTTCTTACATTAAAAGTTTAAAATTTAATGTTACTATGCTAAGAGTATAGCTATTTATACTGTGATTAATTTTTTTATCAATGAAAATTTATTATGCATGCTTACAATATTTGATTAAAAAATTTATTATATTATTAATCTATATTGTAAAACAGTGATTAAAACAATTAACACAATCATTTTCTTTTAAATCCAAATGTCTAAAATAATAATCAAACTAAATATTTAATTGCATATTCAAATCTCATGCGATCGACTCTTCTGCTCCTAAAAGCTTCTGATACAAAGCTCTCCAACCATCCATACAAATTGAGCTTTTTCATCTTCTCTTCTGCTTTAAGCCTCATCTAGGGATGCTCAAACATTCCAATAAGAGATTAATTAATATATATAAATTAAATAAATATTATAAATGGGATCATTTAATTCATTTTTATATATGTAAAAAAAGAGTTATATAATAATAGTGATATCTATAAGAAGTAGAGCAGATTAATAATAACATGGCGACAGGTCTAAGCTGTATTATTATCGCCCTATTCGTTATGAGAAGTACAGATCGAGCTCATAGATTCTACCATCCTTAATACGATGAAAATAATAATAATAATAAAATACTGAAGAGGAAATCTCTCCGAGTTGTAAGAGAAGAAGAACCGAAGAGGAAAGAGCTGAAAGAGGATAGTTGCAGCTGAATATCCGGTCATAAGGATGCTCTTCATGCAAAAGGGTGAGACTCAGCGAAAACAAATATATATACGCGAAAAGGGAAGAGAGAGAATGAGAGTTAAGGGGGCTCGGATAACGAGGAGGCGGGTAGTGGGTGTCAGCAGCTTTGTGGCAGACAGGTAAGCAGGAGGCCACGTAGGACGAGGGGGAGAGATGACGTGGACGCGGCATCCGCTCTGCCGTTGCGTTTTTTTGGTCGCCGGGTTTGACTGGAGCCGTACCGGGTCGGGTGGGACCCGCAACCGCAAGGCCTTCTTCCTTGGGCCTTCGCGCCGTCGCGGTCTGTGGCTTTTTCGTTGGGAGGGGGGCCCTCGTGGGTGGTGGTGGTCGGCCCGTTAATTGTGCGTCGGGCCGCGACGGCCGGTTGGGTTTGTATGCCGGACCGGGCTCTGAACGCAGATGGAATAGTGGCCCCTTCAGGATGTCAACAGCTGCATCTATTTTTCTTTTGCTGTCATCTGATTATTTTTCATAACCTCCAAATAAGCAAAAGTTATTGTTTTTATAAGCAAAAGTTATTGTTTTTTGGGGATTTTTTTTTTAAATGAACGTAGAAAATTTTTAGTGTTTATTAAATTAAATTTATAATTAGTTTCTTTTTAATTTTTTTAAAAATTTGTGCTCAATAAATTTGACGTAAATATTATCAAATTTGTTTCGATATTAGCACGAAACAGCATATTTATTATTATAATTAAAAGTAAACAGCATATTTTATTATTATTATTATTATTTTATTATATGTTTTCCTCTTTCAGCAAAGAACTGTTGTGCAAGCAAGTTCAGCAACTTTGTTATTTCTAACAGCACCATTTTGTCAGTGAATATGGAAGGATTATATGAAGATATTTTTGGTGTGTGGTAGGTACAATCTGGGCTTTGTGGCGTGTCTTATCTTTTAGGTAATGTGATAGAGAAATATATTTGCTGAGCCATTCAAATAAATAACTTTATTTTTTGTGTAGAGAATGCTTTAAGGGCTAAAAGTTTAGCTCAAAGATTCGGATTGAGATTTTGTTTAGGACAATTTTTCTTATCCCTTTGCTTTCAGATTTTAATAATAGGTTTGTTTGGACACTATTTTACATCATTTTTAATGAATATTGTCCTAACAAGCTACTTTCTACAGCTATTTTAATTTCTGTTTTCTTCACAACAACTTTACAACCGCTCTAAAATCATCCTAAATGGACCCTAAAGTTGTTAAATGAGCCTTCTAGTGCCTTGATTGTAGCTTGTGAATGTACTATTATTTCTTTTATTGATGTCCCGATTAATCTTATTTCAAATGATGATTTGAAATCTTAATTGGAGCTAAATGTAAAAGATTCTTGTGCGGTGCAATCAAATTGGCTTAATGAGTCCTTTACCTCGCCTTGCGGGGGAGTTGGGGAAGGCTTTGATGGGCATGACAATGAGATTCATGTGTTATATAATTTGAATGTGGGTTGTGGTGTTGATAAAATCTTTTCATTGAAGGTGGAAAGCGTCGCAATCATAAATCTAAAAAGTTTTTATGGTTTATGGGGTTTTTTCCCTTTATTTGTGGTTACCATTCTTTTTTATGGTCCTTTTACTGTTGGTTGTTGTGTTCTAAAGGTCTTGGGGATCCGTATGGTTGTGTAGCCTTCGTTGTGCTTGGTGTGTTTTGCTTTCTTGGTAGTGAGTTCTGTTGGGTTAGTGGATGTGTTGTGAGTGTTGCCTCTTTTGGCTGCTGTGCTTCTCGATTCTGAGCCTTATTTCTATGATATAGACAATGATGAGGCTGCATTGTGATCGTTGCCAGGTTGGCCTTAGCTTGCTGGCAACGTTGGTGGTTCAACTTGCAGGATGACACTTCTTTCATTTGTAGTTTTCATTTGGTTGCATTGTGGCTTGCTGCCTCCAATGGATGATCCTTTCTGACTGACTGGGTGATTGCAGGATGCTTCATGCCATTTCTTGTGTCCGACAAGGTTCTTCACCTTTTTCACTTTGCGGCCTTCATATCATCTTATTTTTAGCTCCTTTCATTTGGTGGTTACTTTCTCTAGCATTTTATTTTCATTTTTGCTCTTTTGGGTCTTCGATGTAATCTATTTCTTATTGAAGGAAATTTGAGCATGTCGATTTATTTTTTTTAAAAAAATATAGTTAAATGAGTCAATTGTAGCAAGCTAAATTTTATACTCGATTTGATTTCAAGAGTTGGACTTAGATTTGATAGTGCTGGCTTGAAATCGGCTGAAAATATGAATAACAAATATGCATATATGAATATTTAATATTTTAAAATTAAAAAAAGAGAAAACTAAGATTTTGCTTGGGATTGGTATAGTTTTTTATAAAAATGATTGTAAAGCAACTATAGAGAAAACAACTTTTTAAGAATTTTCTGTAAAAAACAACCTACTGACACGCAAAATCATTAAATAAGTTAAAAAGTTGAAGCCAAATAAAAATCATAGTTGTACTATGAAAAGCAAAGCAATAAGAAAGCT